TTCCCATGTTGTTGCAGTATATTAATAACTAACCTTGTATTGTGGATGGATTATCTCAGTTGTTCTCCCGACTGAAGTTTGGTCCGTTTATATCATCCTGCCATGCAATTGAATTTGTCCCTAACCACCAGAAACCCTCACGTTAACTTTTATCGAATGGAAAAAAGTTAGCGTTCATCCTCCAGCTTCACTGTGCTAATGTTATGCTAACATAACTGTGCCGCTAGCGATCATGTTGCACATCATTAAATACCAGTTAGTCCAACTTCAGTAACTCTACAAAAGTCACTGCTGTTTAGTTAATTTATGTTGGAAGTGATAGCAGAGCTGTATGTTTTAATTTGTTTCAGAAATCTCTCAGTCAGAACATGCTATATCATGTTTAGGTGGAAACTAGCGAGCTAACTTCCTGTTAACTTCTAACTCTGTTAAATTTAATAAATTGTGTTTTTATGGATGCCTGGATGTTAAACTTAGTTGTTACACCTGGTAAATCAGCCAGACTGATCATTTGATTAAAGATGAAAGAATTTAGACAGTTTTAACTCTCAGTGATGCTGCAGCGTTGGTTTGACTTTGGGACCTGAAGTCGACAGAGTTTAGGACCCAGATTACTCCGCAAAGCTCCTGACTATGGCAGCCGTAATGCTCCGACAATCCATCAAGCGGTGCAGCTTCATAGCTTACCCAAGTCGTACCAAATCATTTTGTGACAGATTTTTGAGGCCCGTGTAGCACATAAAATCTGTTCGAGGTCAGTAAGCACAACCAGAATTCATACATAAGACGCACTGTCGATTTTTGAGAAAATTAAAGGATTTTAAGTGAACCTTATGTGTGGAAAATACATTATACAGAAGAAAAGAATATATCGCCATATATATTGTTACCGCACATGTTACCCTCTGCTGTTGGACACATGAACAATTAACCATATGACTGTACCCGCCACTAACCCTACGCTGTGTTCACTGCATCATTCCATGTTTGGCACTGATCACCACCTGCACTCATGTATATATCTTTCAACGTAGCACTCTTAACTCTTATTCTCATGTATATATCTCATGTATATCTCATGCACATATCTTTCCACGTAGCACTTTTAATTCTTATCCCTACTTTTATTTTTTTCCATGTCTATTTAAGTGCTATTTATGACACTATGTTTGCACTGAAGCACCGCAGCAATTTCCTAATGTTGTAAACCTGCTCAACATTTGGCAATAAACCCCATTCTGATTCAAATTATACCGCAATATGGATTTTAGGCCATATAGCCCAGCCCTACATAGAAGTAATATTCCTTTATATGTCTACTGTCTTTAGCTTATTAATACAATAAAGATAAAGTTAAAGAGTTAATACCTTTTAAAAGTAAGGGGGAAAAACTCAAGGTTGCATTCAAAGGTGGACTGTGGGGTATTTCATTTAAAAAAATTATATGAATCAATCAATCAATCAATCAATACTTTACAATTTATATTGCACATTTAAAGACCAGAGGTACACCAAAGTGCTTCTCAAGAGTAAAATATGAAATAAAATTGATTACATATGGGTACGATAGCTGAGTATAAATACACTTCCCAGAAAAAAGTGCTAATTAACCCGGCAGTACTATGTTAAAAGAAATATTTCACTCCTATTGTAAAAAAACCCTGTAACACAGTAGGTTAAAACTACATACAGATGCAATAAAAGTACAGTGTATCAATTGTGTTTTATAAGATTGAATAGATTCCGATGTGCAAATATCAGCTGGAAGACTGTTCCAGAGGTTAGGTGCAGCAATGTCAAAGGCATGATCACCTCTGGTTTTCAGCCAGGACCTAGGTTGCACTAAGAGCATTTGACTCAATGATAGAATTGCTCTCCTAGGTGTATACAGGCGGAGAAGTTCAGTTAAATAGCAAGGTGCAATATTATTTATCATTTTGAAGCAATAAAATCTTAAAATCAATCCAATATTTAGTGGGCAGCCAATGTAGGTCAGCAAGGTTTGGGGTAATAGAATCAAACCTAGTACCAGTTAAAAGGCGTGCCACTGCATTTTGGAAAAGTTGTAGTTTTTGAAGAAGGGCAGATTGGAGGCCCAGGTAAAGGGAGTGGCAATAGTCTAATCTTGAAGTAACAAAGGCATGGATAAGTTTTGCAAGATTTGTCGTAGTTGGTAAAAACTAGACTGTACTAAAGAGGACACTTGTTTATCAAGTTTAAAGGAACTGTCCATAAGAACACCTAAGTTACGTACTGTATCAGAGAGAGAGGTAGCAAAGGGCCCAAATATATCGGCTAATTCTCCCCGAGGGATGTGGCTATCAAAGACAATTATTTCTGTTATCTTTTTATTTAGAAAAAGGGAGTTACTCTATAACTAGCCTTTGACCTCCCTCATACAATCAAGAAAGCAGCGTAGTGAAAATGGAGTATCGTCAGTCAGATAAAAATAGATTTGAATATCATCAGCATAAAAATGAAAAAAAAAAAAAGTTATATTTGTCAAATATAGAGCCCACAGTTGGGATGTACAATGAGACCAACATAGGGCCCAGAACAGACGCCTGGGGCACACCACAATGAAAAGGGGTAACAGAAGAATAGTAGCTCCTCATCGCAACAGAAAAGGACCTATCCAAAAGATACAATTTAAACCATTCAAGGGCGCTTCCTTTGATGCCTACTAAACATTCTAGTCTTGTTAGGAGAATGCTGTGGTCCACCACATCAAAGGCTGAAGACAAATTCAGTAAAACCAAGACCACAGGGCTCCCTAAATCCGCAATTAAAAGGTCATTTAAACTCTGCGCAAAGCCGTTTCAGTACTATAACGTGGTTTAAACTAGAGATGGCACGATACCACTTTTTTATGTCCGATACCGATACCGATATCATAAATTTGGATATCTGCCGATACCGATATGAATCCGA